AGCCTCTTTAATCTCTCCTCATATGGGACCTCTTCCAAACCCTTAATCATTTTTGTTGCCCTTTTCTGAACTTTTTCTAGTGCCAGTATATCTTTTTTGAGATGAGACGACCACATCTGTACGCAGTATTCGAGATGAGGACATACTATCTATTTATATAAGGGCAAGAATATAGTCTCAGTCTTATTCTCTATCCCCTTTTTAATGATTCCTAACATCCTGTTTGCTTTTTGACCGCCTCTGCGTGGACATTTTCAGAGAACTGTCCACAATGACTCCAAGATCTTTTTCCTGACTTGCTGTAGCTAAATTAGCCCCCATCATATTGTATGTATAGTTGGGGCTATTTTTTCCAATGTGCATTACTTTACATTTATCCACATTAAATTTCATTTGCCATTTTGTTGCCCAATCGCTTAGTTTTGTGAGATCTTTTTGAAGTTCTTCACAGTCTGCTTTGGTCTTAACTATCTTTAGCAGTTTAGTATCATCTGCAAACTTTGCCACCTCACTGTTTATCCCTTTCTCCAGATCATTTATGAATAAGTTGAATAGGATTGGTCCGAGGACTGACCCTTGGGGAACACCACTAGTTACCCCTCTCCAGTCTGAGAATTTACCATTAATTCCTACCCTTTGTTCCCTGTCTTTTAACCAGTTCTCAATCCATGAAAGGACCTTCCCTTTTATCCCATGGCAGCTTAATTTACATAGGAGCCTTTGGCGAAGGACCTGTCAAAGGCTTTCTAGAAATCTAAGTACACTATGTCTACTGGATCCCCCTTGTCCACATGTTTGTTGACCCTTCAAAGAATTCTAATAGATTAGTAAGACACGATTTCCCTTTACAGAAACCATGTTGACTATTGCTCAACAGTTTGTTTTTCTTTGTGTCGGACAATTGTATTAACTATTGTTTCGACTAATTTGCCTTGTACAGACGTTAGACTTACCGATCTGTAATTGCCGGGATCATCTCTAGAGCCCTTTTTAAATATTGGCGTTACATTAGCTAACTTCCAGTCATTGGGTACAGAAGCTGATTTAAAGGACAGGTTACAAACCTTAGTTAACAGTTCCGCAACTTCACATTTGAGTTCTTTCAGAACTCTTGGGTGAATGCCATCTGGTCCCAGTGACTTGTTAATGTTAACTTTATCAATTAATTCCAAAACCTCCTCTCGTGACACTTCAGATTTACCTGCTTTCAGTTCAGAAAGAAGCTTTAGGGACTGGTCTCCTTTTGCAGACCTTTCTCAGGCTCTACCCTTCTCACCACTGATACTTTGTGTGCGCTTCTTAACGCCACCTGTATTTCACTGTCACATACAGTTATAGTGCACCATATACAACCGAAACCCCCCCCTACGTTTTGAGGTCAGTTAGACTGGACAGTTGCTGGGCAACTGAACCCACTCTGCACAGTGATTGGAGGTGAGGGCTCTGTGTATCTGTGTTCTCATTGGCACATCTTGAAGTAAATTAACTACCATATTTTATATAACAAATTCCCACACAGTTTTAAAGCTTCATCTGAGTAGACTATTATGGGTATGCATGCCACAGTTTGGGAACACCTGCCCTAAAAAATCTGGAGGGCTTGAGGCCGGTCCTGACTCTGTTTAAAATGTGCAAAAAACCCCAAACATCTTGTGAAATATCCGTTTTTCCACGTGGTAACGTTGCAAGATGTCACCCATCCTCACGCCAAAGGGACTGGGCAGTAGGCATCCACTCTGGTTACCGTTTTCTCATGTTCCACAACCCAGTCGTGTGCCGATTTACTCAGGTAAAGAAAAGCATGTCTGGGTAATAGAGCCCAATCCTGCTCCCATTGAACTTAGTGGCAAAGCCCACATTGATTTAATGGTGTGGGATCAGACTCTTAGTTTCCAAGCTAAACAATGTTCCAGGGTCCCTTTCAAATAGCCGGCATTGCTGCTTAGTTAAGCAATGACTGTTAGTGCATCATACTCCAACACATGTTTTTTCTGCTGCTACGAGATCAAAGAACTGCAATATATTGAATTACATGCTGGCTAAACCTGAATATATTATCCCCATTTTCTATAAAGTATCTATTAGCATTGTTCTGTATTTCTCCACCCGCAAGGAATCAAAGATATTCGCTCTAGAGGCTTTTTATACAGCAATTTTGCATTGCACACAGGATGTCTGCTAATCTATTTATAAAGGTCCTTGTTATAGCTTTTTATTGTAAAGGTTTCATGCCATATTCCTTGTATGCATTTTGTCTACATCTCAGATAGAGAACGCTGTGTAAAGGACCTTTCAGTAGCAGGAGCATGACTTTACCATTACCATCGTGACTGAAATAAATAGGATTACTCACACGAGCAAGCAGTGGCAGGATCAGTCCCTACATTTTATTACTTCACAATAGCGGAGGTCAAAAAAATCTTCTGGTCTATTTCTTTACCACTTCCAAGCCAAGTGATGCCAGTCATTACCAACTCACATTCTAGGAAAATAGGTGGTAAGATGCTGTATGAGAGAAACAAAGAGAATTCCAATTCCCATCCTATTGGAGCAGTGGATGCTAATTATAAGAATGCTATTTCAGCTCACTGCTATTCCACTATAATGGTATATAGCATCTGGGGAAAACCTGTAAGGTTTGCATACCTGTGCTGTAAGGTGTTTTCCTTCTACCATAAAAAGTTACAAATAGGAAACATTAAACTTGGAATCTAGGCTCAATATTATTGTCTCTTTTTGAAATGATTATTTGTGTGTTAATACCCATACAGATGGACTGTCCTAAAATAATTCCCTCACCTCAGCAGACTTCATTTTACTTCCCACTTGAGTTTTTCACAAAATGGAGAAGGAAGAAAACTCATCTTCCATTTTCAATTTTTTTTAGTTCAAATCAAATGATTATAATATTGTTACATTTCTGACAGCAGGGAGAATACATTTCAGACAAAGCACATATTTTATTCTATTTTAACTGTTTGTGTTTCCCTAATTGCAAGAAAAATACAATGATGATCTTTTTGTGGAATGATAAATATTTTAACTTAAGTTTTCAGCTGGAAGAAAAATATATGTGTTGCCAATGAAAGGTACCAGATTGGCAGCCTTGTGCATTGTCTACACAAAGCTTTTATTTCCTGTAAAAACTTCCTACCGTTGCTACCATCAACGTCTTTCCAACCAGATTTATTTATTAAGCAGTCAGTAAATGATTAAGGAGCTGGTGGGACTGATTTATGAAGCGAGATTAATTGAACTAAATATGTATTGCTCAGTTAAGTGGCAACAGGGCTGGGTGGGAGAACACAATAGCTGTCTGTTTACACCCGTAGGTACTGGTAATGAGGGAGCGGGAATGTTTAGGGTGGTACAAGGGGGTATAATTACTGTAAAAGATAATGAGATAAAAACCTAACAGTGAGAGTTTTTAGTCTGAGGAATAATCTTCCTAGGGAAGTCAATGGTGAGAGCGCCGTCCATGAAAATTCTGAAAATTAAATTGGATGTAGACGTAAACAAGACGGTGTAGTGGAAGAACAGTCCTTCACCAGCAGGGGAATGGAATAGATGTCCTACTGTGATAGGCCTGGTCTAATTCCAATTTCTATGGTTCTGTGAAAGAACCTACATGTACATAATATTTTTCAAATATAGACACCCGGCTTCCAGGCCAGGTTTAGCCCTGTTGCTAGTGAGTACAGAGTGCTCTTTTGACTTCAAAAACAACAAGGAGTCCAGTAGCTTATATGAATGTAATGCTCACTCTTTATTTTGGGTCCCATTCTGCCTGTATACCCAAGCAGTTTGCACGTTGAAGGGAGCAGAGAAACTGGTGCATTGAGTTCACAAGAAACCATTCTAGAATTTTTACATGTTGGCCTAGCTAAATGCATTGTCAGCGTCACTTTTTTCAGCTGGCACCATTTATTCATTGGTCTTGGTGCTGGACTGTGTTTGTTGCTAGTGGGAATGTATTTGCACTGGTGCAGGGGTTCTCAACCTTTTTCTTTCTAAGCCCCTCCCGTTCCTGCTATAAAAACTCCACAGCCATCAGTGCCACAGTAATTGGTTTTCTGCATATAAAAGCCAGGCTGGAGTTAGGGCAGGACAATTGCCTGGGGCCTCATGCCACAGGGGCTCCCATGAAGCTACATTGGTCAGGCTTTGGCTTCAGCCCTGGTTGGCAGGACTCAGGGCTCTGGACTTCAGCCCCATGCGGTGGGGCTTTGGCTTTCTGCCCTGGGCCCCAGCTAGTCTAACACTGGCCATGTTTGGAGGCCCCCCGGATACCTGCTTGCAGCTCCGCAGCGGGCCCCAAGATCCTGGTAGAGAACCACGGTGCTAGTGGGAGTATATGTGTGCGCACCAGCCTGGGAGCTAGTCACATCTTTTTCCCAGCAAACCATGCTTCCTCAGACAGTGAAGCACCCCCTGAGTTATTAGAGGTGAAATTCAGCCTGGTGCAGAAGTGGGACTGAGGTGGTATCTAGGCCTATGCTGACCCTCTGCATAAGAGTGAATTACACTCTAGATGAGCATATGTTCTACTCCACTGTGATGGGATTGTGGCTGGGTACACAAGTGACATACCAAGCTGCTTGTGCAATCACACAATCGATTGCATCCTTTCCCCACACTGCACATCAGTCACCCCAAGGGCAGGATTTAATCAGTTTCTGGCCTCATCTTCTTTTGATTCTGACACTGGTTTGCAAGTTGTTTGTCTGTTTTCCAAAAGTATTCCAAAGTGGAGCAAAAACAAACATGCTTTTAAATATTTCATTTTCATACTTTAAGGGAGATTGACACATTTTGAAGAGGAAAGCAGCCTACAACACCTAAATTAAAAATAAATATTTATGTTCACATTTGTTCGTCAGCTTTCCAAAATGTAAAAATATGTTTCATGTTGTTTTAAATAATGAAAGGTGAAACAAATGAAAGATAAACTTTCTACAAGCTGCAAGGAAATAAGAAGACAAAGCCTTTGTTTATAGCTTAGATTTCAACAATGCCCTTTGACAATCAATGCAACTCTTAATTACAAATGGAATTATACATATAAGAACTGTTCAAAACAAAGGAGCATTTTTTTTCTGGTTTTCTTTGTGATAGTTTTAATTAGCTGTGACTCTTTGAACAATCATAGCCCTTGACTGCTATTCAGACACTGATGGAAGTTGTTAACTTCAAATAATATCTGTGGGGATGTAGAAGTACAGGGGTTCCCGCACCACATGCTCCGCTGTTAATATATTCTCAGATATATTGGAATTCTGCATACCTAATATTTAAGTGCAAATTAGCATTATCCCATAACTTTCCAATGATTGACATGAGAGGGAAAAATAATCCAGGTAGAACAACATGCAGAAACAATAACTACAAATAATGGCCAGTCATACATTGAGCTTTTCTCTTAATAACCACGTACCCCTTCTCCAAACAAATAGAAGTTGGCGGGGGGGGGGCAAACTGGGCTGCCATGTGAAAGCAGCTTCTCTTGACACTGGCGATGAGTGGGTTGTGCAACTGCTGGGAAATGCATCTTCCCATATTTGGCACAACACCACTTCTTAATTCCCCAAGGCAAACTCTCTTTTAAGGAAAGTGTCTACCAGAGATGCAAGTCTATTCAAGGGGAGCTGCACCTCCTGCACCAGTTTGGCTCAGCTGCCTGTGCTCCAGACGCAAGCACGGGTTAGGCATTGGGATATGCTAGTGTGGAGCCTTGCAGAGTCCTATTGAAATCAATGGGTCTCCGCACTAATAAGTTCCACTGCAGCATTGGGGATGTGGAAGGTAGAGCAATCTTGCTCTAGTCCAGAATATCATTAGTTCAGTTCCATACCAGGATTTGGGTTTATTCCAAGTGCTGGCATTGCAGTACAGTACTTGGGGAGAGGGGGAGGTCCCTGTTGGTCTTCAGAGATGCATTGTCCTTGCCAACGGTAACGGGGCGATGACTCACCAGTGCGGCGCCTCCTGCTGGTCGTCCTGGGAATGAGCTCTTGTCCAGGTCCGGAGCGCCCTCTGCTGGGCGATGTCTTGCTTGCCGCTGGCCCTGGTGTCCCTCCTGGACCCTGGTGCCCCTTCTCTCAGTACACCACAGTCTCTCTGGGTCTCCCCTCCCCAGGGAACCCCCAACCCATTATCCCCACCTTGCCTCAGTCTTGGGCTACTGGCAGTCACCATCTAGCCCCCGCTCATTGGGGCGGACTGCAGTATAATTGGCAAGGAGGGTTTGGACCTGCTGCCTCTGCCTACCCTTGGGCTGCCCTCTGCAACCCCAGTACCTTTTCTGGCCTTTAGCAAGGCCTGCAGCCTGGGGTTTTCCAGGCTGGAGCTCCCCAGCCCCTCTGGCCTTCCCCCAGTCCTGCTCCACTCTGGGTACCTTGCTCAGCAGCCAGTCCCCTCCCTCTCAACAGCTAGAGAGAGACTGATTTAGCTCCAGCCTAGCAGCCCCTTTATTAGGCCAGCTGTGACCTGATTGGGGCGTGGCCCCATCTTAGGCTACTTTCCCAATCAGCCTAGGTTTTTCTCTCAGCCCCGGCCCTCTCCAAGGCTGCTTTTACCCCTCCGGGCAGGAGCGAGGTGACCACCCCGCTACAACAACATATACCCTGATACAATAAAGCATTTAAATGCCTGCATAACTTTAAGCATGTATGTAGTACTTTTGAGGCTGATGTATACGCACTGAAGTCAACAGAAACACTCCCACTGACTTCAGTGGGGTTTGGATCAGGCCCAGTGGTACTTCTCGCATGATCAAAGCTGTACATGTGTTTAAATGCTTTGCTGGATCAGGACCACGTTCTATCTCTCAGTAATGTGTGCTAACTATGCTAGAAAACATTAATCTTATTACAAAATGCTTTGGGAATACCTTGAGTATCAAAGGAATCAAACACTTCAGAATTGCTCACTCAGGTTTTAAGTACCAAAGGCAATGTTGGTGTAATAAGAAAAACAGGCAGCTTTTAGTTACTGGTTTATTTACCTGAAGAACACTAGCAATCTAGAATATTTTTTCTGTTGCTCAGACATTTATTAAGGATAACACTGTGCTATGGAAATTAAGTAAAGTCATAAATAAAACTAATAGGCAGCAAGGGAGTGATTCCTAACTTTTCAAGCACATGTCAGCAAATCTGCCTCCTATTGTCGCTGTGTCTACCTGACATTACTTGTAGAACCTCAAACATTCCACACAGACACTTAAAAGAATGCCACTCTAGTCCATTGCAGCATGGAGGGATCTGTGTAACCCAGATTTCCTGCGTAGAAGATAGTACATCAGAATTATTTATGGCATTCCCCTTTTTTTTGAAAAGGCCATCACAATAAACATGGCATTAGCTGAACTATCGGTGCCTTGTAGGGACTGGTGCAAGATTTCTCTACCTCTTACCTTCAAGCCTAAAAATCAACTTGTACAGTTCTTCGGTTATTTATTAATTATTACTCTTTTGCATCGCGGTAGAACCCAGGAGCCTCAGTCATTGATCAGGACTGCATTGTGCCAGGCATTGTACACATAAAGGGTAGAAGTGTGGGGGGAGAGAACAAACCAAGCTGGAGTCCTTTTATATGTCTAAGTAGTTTAAGTGCATAAAACATGCAGGCAACACTGGGATATATGGGGTACATGCATATCTATATCTAAGAAGACTAAAAAGAATTTTCAAATGTACTCTTAAATGGATAAGTAGCTACTGAAATAATAATTGCTAATTTTGCTGCTGTTGCTAATGTCTTTGTAATTGATTTCATCTGAATCATTTCAATTGATTCATTCTTTAAAGCAGAGGTGTACTTTTACCTATGAGAAATAAGAAATCATGGACCAGATCCTCTGCTAATATAAATCGGTGTAGCTTTATTAACTTAAATAGTGCTACACTGATTAACAGCAGGTGAGGATCTGGCCCTTATTTTTAAAGGGTGAAATCCTGGCCCCACTGAAGTCAAGGGCAAAAGGCTCCTTGTATGGGATCTGGATTTCACCCAAAATGATTTACAAAGGACCCGAAAGCATTCTTCATTGTAAATGTTGTCTTCTGCTTAAAGCAAAGAACCGTGGGATTGCAATTCCGGTGGATTTAGACAGCCAGGTAAATACCCTGTTCATGAAGAGTCATTCCAATATGGTGCAGAGAGCGGCCATGGGATGGAGAATGTCTGCCCGCAGTGGACCTCGTTTTAAAGAAGCTCTTGGAGGGCCTGCCTGGGATTACAGGAATATAATTGAAAAACTGCAGGTATGGTAGCAAATGCCTGATGCTGTGTGTGTGACATTGCGTTTTGTCTAGATATGTTCGTGACAGTAAGAACAACCCAAGGACAGAGGGCAAGGGGCACTCTGATATCTAGCAGTGAGAGTCAGCTGGCCTGAGCAGCTCAGTATATCCCAACTCGCTATTGTTATAATCTCTGTCTAAAAGGTGTCATGTAATATGCACACTGTTTTGGTGAAATTTGGGGCTGTGGGAGTGTGTTGGGGTCATCTTGCTGTTGTAACCAAGCTGGTGGAAGCCCGAGTGGGGTTGGAGGGTGTAGACAAGCTGCTGGGGTCAGAGCTGCTGAGCCAGGCCTGTCTAAGCACCCAGATATGCAGGGTGTGACCTGCATCCCTCTTCCTGATGTGAGCATCCCAGGTTGGGAGCTACAGCAGCAAAACATTGCGAGACACCCAGGATTGCTGGGCTAGTGGTGACACAGCCCCTCCCTGGTCTGGACTGCTCCCCTGAACCCTGATTGGACCATCACAATGTTGTATACACCTATTCAAAGGGAAGCCAACACCTTGGGCCTTGCACTCCTATGACCTAATTCGGCCCCCACAGGAGTCAATGGGAATCTTTTGCCCCTGGGCCATTATGATTGCCAGAGCATAGCAAGACCAGCCAGGTCTTATTTCTGATGACCATGCCCCTACTGTAGGTGCAAAAAGGTAAGAGTGGTGTAGGAGTCGCTACAGTGCTTCTGTATCACTGGAGGATCCCCCTGTGCTAGGAGATCATCCCGTGGTGTGAGATGTACTGGCTTTAGAGACACTGTATACTCCAAAGAGCTTAGAAGCTTGTCGGCGTGGTATAGTAACGCACACTAGAGGGTTGTGGTTTCTAAAGCGCGGCAGCCTGTTGTGCACTAACTGGCCCGGCAGTCCTGCTGGCACAGACTAAAAGTTCCCTGGTGCACGTCAACATGATGCTCTTTGGAAAGGGATTATGTTAATTTGCACTAGGGAACCTTTAATGCACCCCAGCAGGATCTACATGTGCCAGTTAGCATGAAACGCATTGTCACCCTTTTAGAAGTCACACCTTTCCAGTGCACATTGCTGTGCCTTGTAGACAAGAGGTAAGTATAAAACTAAGAGACAACAGGTGGATACAGACAGACAGATAGGGGCGTATAAGGGAAATGAAAGATGCAAGGCAGGGGCTTTAGCACACTGGTTTCCTAACCATTGTCAAGTTTTTTGTAGGCACCATTGTAAGGAGAGTTTTGAAGGAGGGCAGTTAGGTAGTTCTGTGGAAGTTTGTGGGAAGCTGCTGGCAAGTGTGATGGGCAGCAAAGGAGAATGCCAAACAAGCACCTCCAGGCTATGTAACAAGTGGGTGGTAAGACTGGCACCATGGGTTGATGGGAGGCGGGATGACAAATGACGACAAATATTTGTCCGATATTTCGTTCACATAATATGAAATTCATCAACTAAGTCATTCAAGTGTGATTGGACCAGCTTTTGCCATAATTGACCTTCTTCTTCTGCTTCTTTATTTAGGATGTAGTCTCCTCCTTGGAACAGCAGTTCACCCCCATGATGCAGGCTGAATTCTCAGTGTTGGTTGATGTATTGCATAGCCCTGAACTTCTCTTTCCTGAGGGGAGTGATGCAAGAATAAGATGTGGTGCTTTCTTGTCCAAGTAAGTGGCACAGAAAGCGTCCTGTTTATTTATTTTTTTCTGAAAAGACGACAGATAACATTTTCAGAAGCGCCTAAGTCCCACTTACAAAAGGCACTTAGGAGTCCAAGTCTCACTGATACCCTTTATTTATATATATTTTTGTTACATAGTTTGTGTCCCATTAGTAAAGGAGTTGTATGTGTGACATGATTAAAACGAAAACCCTTGCGGCTTGCTGAAATTAAGACAGTCTCAACAAATTTCTGTTTTCCTAATCGCCATTTATGTTAAATTGCCCCCAAATACATTGCAAGGTCTCAGACATTCCATGTTAGAAGGGTGTGTTTTTAATTCATATTCTTTGGGGGCATGCTGAGCTACCTTTTGAGACAAAGTAAATAAATCCTTTGGTTTTACTTTAAATTGCAAACTCTGAAATAGCTCTTCTAAATGTACATTTCACTGGTGCCTTTGCATGGTTTTGAATTACAGGTGGTTTTATTTGCAGTTTGGGCACTGGAAGAGAGCCGTTCAGTTTTGCTTTATTAGTCCTTTAGTGAGATGCCCTATTTGCCCTTGAGGAACTGTGTAATTTAGAGGTAACTTGAGGGCACTGAAAATTTGGCAGGTTTCCTGATTCCTCAGCTTTCTGCACATTCTGCACAGGTAGCATTATATACTTCATATGTGTGTGTGTCCCCCCCCCCCCCAGACTAAATGTTGCATTTTTTGCCCCCTGTGTCAAAGTTTCACTGGAAGTTAATGGGAATTTTGAATGAGAATACAGGATTTGGCCTATGGTGTACAAGGAATACATTTTTTTAAAAATGATCTACTGTTGCCCAGTGATACTTTGCAATACTATGTAAATGGCACTATTAATATGCAGTCATTTTAAAATTATGGTTAATAATAATATGACTTACATTTAGACCGTGGTGAGCTCATCTCACGAGCTTGGTCATCACTTGAATGGGAGACTTCCAAAGAGATCCTGGCGTGCTGCAGGAAGTGATATTAGTACTGAACCCAGCATGATGATGGGGGGCATGGTGCTGTGGCTGATGCTCTCTTTTGGATTAGATGTAAATGATGCCTTATGCAAGAATATGTATATTCGCTCTGGTGTTTTTGCTTAATTCTGATTTGAGCAATCTTGTTTTGCCTTCCTAAACTCCTATTGCAGTTTTATTTGGATGCAGAATTCTATTTTACTTTCGGCCCTAAACTGCCCTGCAGAGTTCCTGTGTGCACTTAAACAGCTGCTGCATTCCATCCAGAGGTGACTGCATTTCTGTGCTGAGCAAAGTGATTCTATTACAAATTTTTTTGTAAATTACTTTGGATCATTTTGGGTGGAAACCACTCGATAATTGTAGAATAAGTATTATTACTACCATAAAACTTAAAGTTCCTTTTGAAGTTTGTAGGATAAATGATGGGCACTGCAGGTAAAATAATAATTTTTAGAAAAACATAGGCCTAAATGGCAGAATTTGGATCCTGGTCTGGGTTTCAAACCCTCTAAAATGTAGGTGTTTTTGGATCTGGGATTCTCTTTCTGCTCGTTACTTAGGCACCTGCAGCAAAATTCGGTGCAGACTCCAAACACCCTCAAAGGCCGAGAGAGATTGGGCTGGGGCCCATTTCTTTTTCATGGTACCTACCTGGTCTACTTGTATTTCCTTCAGGGAAAAATATGGTAACATACAAACAAACAATTTCTGTATAACGTGCATGTTGTCTGGCTTGGAGATAAGGTGCAATACTCTATATAAGGTCTAATGTTTTACTTTAAGGTTGATTAATCACACAAAGAAGCTAATGGAGAAAGAAGAAAAACTTTGCATTAAAATTCTTCAGACATTACGGGAAATGCTCGACAAGAAAGACAGCTTTGCGGAAGAGGTACTGCTGCCCTTTTACTATTAAAAATAAAACTTTCATTATGGCATTTTCAGCAGAATGTTATAACTCTTAACTCCTCACATGTTACAGGTAATACATTGTCTCTGAAACAGAAGTTACATCATAGAAATTTAGTCCCCTTTTCCTGACACTTCTCCTGGCCCGTTGCAGTCCACGTGTTGACTAGAGTCCGTTTCAAGTGTCCAATTCATCCTTTCTCCCTCCCGCCTGAGATCCCAGCCCTTTATAGTCAGTAAGCATTTTTGCAGTTGAAGGTGCAGTAGGAAGTAGGTAATGTTTAATGAGACGTACCACCTGGGGAGAGTGGAATTGACTCTATGTTCTCTACAATGCCTACTGTTTTCTGTATCTGGTAACATCCCCCTTGTTTAGCTCCAGAACTGTTTCTTCTCTCAACATCTAGGTTTCCAAATGCCCCTTTGATCTTACATGCACCTTAGGGTCATGGTGACTGGACCCTGGTTTTCACATCAATTGGTCCATGGCTAGAGGTTTTAAACTCATTCAAAATCCATCTGTCTTGACAAATTTTTCATGTATAGTTGTATAGTTTCCTCTCACTGGTATTTCTTATCATTCATTCTGGATATTAATGCTACTTTATATTAAAATGAATCATAGTGATTAATTCATCTGTCACAGAAATCATTTGTTTGTCAGAATCAGCACCTATAGTCAAATATATACACTGGAATCACTTTGAGAAAAATTGTTGACCTCCTTTCTCCTCTCCTTGTCCCCATGCACCGGTATTTTCAGAGTTTGATATTATGCTGGTCATCCATTTTACGGTACCTAGCAGAATTATCAATCAGGATATACCAGGTAGTTTAATTTTGAATATAACGTTCCTAATGATGAAGGGAAGATTTTGTGTGTAGCGAGATGGGTACATATTTCTGGGTCACTTGGATGTTACACCTTAAGTTCCATGTCTCAGTACTGTCATAAGACAATACTACTTCAATTTCTTCTCTTATGGTAGATAAGTCACATATGAGAAATATGGTGTATTCACAGTGTATATGTTTTGATTATACACTGTTTTGATTTCAACGTATGTCACACAAAAAGAACATTTTGCCCAGGCTCTAGGTAGCCTAGTAGATAGTTTAAAAAACAACAACAACCCAGTCAAACCAAGACCTTTCTCTTCACAAGAATAACCCACCCACAAAGAGTGAATTTACCTCCTCCTCACCTCCCGCAAAGAATTTTGCTCTAAGAGCAATGCACTCAGTCCATGGCAGATAGTGATTTGTCTTGGTGTCGTAGCAAAATTTTCATGGCTGAATCAGATATTATTATTCATTTGTATTCAAACAGCCTTAATGCTTACATCCCCATGAGTAATATGTAAAAACAAACTTTCCTTTTGAAACTGTTCACATTGGGGAACTACGCTAAGCCTTTCCAAAATAGCCACATACGCACCAGAAAATAAGACTTCAGAAAAAGAAGAAAAGAGAAGACAATACCTTCCTTTATAGATATTCAGCAAAGGCTTGTCTGATCAGATACATCTTTTACCCTGCCCTGGAGGCTGATCCACTGAGATTAAGGCAAGCCACCAGAGGGAGTAAGTTCCACAGTTAGGGATCCTTTAACAAGATAGCCTGGCTTCCAGTCCTCAAGAGTGCACATCTGGGACTTCAGCAAATGCAGCTCAGTGGTGCATTGTTATCTTGATAGTGCATAGGGAGATGGTACATGTTAATGGTTTTAGGGAAAAAATAAGACTGATATCTGCCCCATCCCCTAAATGCTGTTCTTTCTGAGATCCATGAATTTTATAGTGGAGAAGGATAATAAACCAAAACATGTGACTTACTGTATGGTTTTGCAAGTCCTTTCCTCACTTACCACTCTTGGGAGTCATAGCTTACGTTATGGACTTCAGAAAGGCTAAAAATAGCACAATGAGCTGCCTTTTGTGTACTTTTCCAGCTTTCCATGAAACAGTACATTACTGCATGCAATTGTACTTTGTGAGATCCAAATACTGAAAAATACAGAATTAGGGTACATGGGGCCAAATGAACTTTTGACAGCAGAAGACCTGAATGTACGGTAATCATAAGTCTATGTTTTGTGCTGTACTGTATTTGGAGCATTACATTGGGCACAAACTATAAACTTTCAGGTAAAGATTATTGCAGAACTTCTCATAATTAGAAGCAGGGAGAGAATCCTAATGCAATCTGTTGATCAGTTATACTTATGTGGCCTCCATTACTTTACTGTCTGAGCCCCTCACAATCTTAAATATAATTATCTTCACCTTATCCTCGGGTGGTAAGATGTTATAATCACCCCTGTTTTATAGAGAGGGAACTAATGCACAGAGAAACTAAAGGTTTCAGTGGTAGCTGTGTTAATTTGTATCAGCAAAAAAAACAAGGAGTCCTTGTGGCACCTTAGAGACTAACAAGTTTATTTGAGCATAAGCTTTCGTGGGCTAGAACCCACTTCATCAGATGGCTGAACTTTGTGACTTTGTCCTCACCCACAACTATTGCAGATTTGGGGACAATTTATACGTTCAAGTCAGCGGGACTGCTATGGGTACCCACATGGCCCCTCAATATGTCAACATTTTTATGACTGACTTAGAACAACGCTTCCTCAGGTCTCATCCCCTTACGCCCCTATTCGACTTGCGCTACATTGATGACATATTCATCATCTGGACCTATGGGAAGGAGGCCCTTGAGGAATTCCACCAAGATTTCAACAATTTCCACCCTACCATCAACCTCAGCCTAGACCAGTCCACACAAGAGGTCCACTTCCTAGACACTACAGTGCTAATAAGCGATGGTCACATAAACACCACCCTATACCGGAAACCTACTGACTGCTATACTTACCTACATGCCTCCAGCTTTTATCCAGACCACATCACACAATCCATTGTCTACAGCCAAGCTCTAAGATACAACCGCATTTGCTCCAATCCCTCAGACAGAGACAAACACCTACAGAATCTCTATCAAGCATTCTTAAAACTGCAATACCCATCTGGTGAAGTGAAGAAACAGATTGACAGAGCCAGAAGAGTACCGAGAAGTCACCTACTACAAGACAGGCCCAAAAAAGAAAGTAACAGAACGCCACTAGCCGTCACCTTCAGCCCCCAACTAAAACCTCTCCAGCGCATCATCAAGAATCTACAACCTATCCTGAAGGACAATCCCTCACTCTCACAGACCTTGGGAGACAGGCCAGTCCTCGCTTACAGACAGCCCCCCAACCTGAAGCAAATACTCACCCAGCAACTACACACCACACAACAAAAACACCAACCCAGGAACCAAACTCTGCTACAAACCCCGGTGCCAACTCTGTCCACATATCTATTCAAGGGACTCCATCATAGGACCTAACCACATCAGCCAAACCATCCAGGGCTCGTTCACCTGCACATCTACCAATGTAATATATGCCATCATGTGCCAGCAATGCCCCTCTGCCATGTACATTGGCCAAACTGGACAGTCTCTACGCAAAAGAATAAAGGGACACAAATCTCACATCAGGAATCATAACATTCAAAAACCAGTAGGAGAATACTTCAATCTCTCTGGTCACTCTCTGGTCACACACCTCAAAGTGGCAATTCTTCAACAAAAAAACTTCAAAAACAGACTCCAACGTGAAGCTGCAGAACTGGAATTAATTTGCAAACTGGATACCATCAGATTAGGCCTGAATAAAGACTGGGAGTGGTTGGGTCATTACAAAACCTAAACTTAATTTCCCCAATACTAATTTCTCCCTACTGTTACTCACACCTTCTTGTCAACTGTCTGTAATGGGCCACTCTCTTCAAACATTATTTCTCCTCCCTTGGTATCCTACAGTTAATTGATTTATCTCATTAGACTGACTTGTCACTTGGTAAAGCAACCCACATCCTTTCGTGTATTTATACCTGCTCCTGTATCTTTTACTTCATACATCTGATGAAGTGGGTTCTAGCCCACGAAAGCTTATGCCCAAATATATTTGTTAGTCTCTAAGGTGCCACAAGGACTCCTTGTTTTTTTGTGTGTGTCTTTTTAAACTTTCTTTAGAAAATTTCAGAGCTTGATTTCTTTATTCCCTCCATCCCCCCCAAAATGGCTTAATACAAATTGTATTGGGACTATAGATGTTCATATACATTCACTTCTAGAACACTAATAAAACATAGCAAGCTAATGAGGTGGTGGTATGTAGTAGGCTGGTGCTTCTGAAAAGACAAAGAATGCTGGGAGGGTTTATGGCAAAGTTTCCCAAGATGTGGGACAATACCCATGGGGTGTCATGGAAGATGTATACATTTAAGCTGGGTATGCCTTTACCAACACATGGTGAAGTTGTGGAGGGGTTGGACGGGGAATCCTGTCAGTTTCATATTCCTGAGAGGAAGCTCCGCTTTCAAAAGTGTAGTTTGGGGAATTACAGTAATAATGGGCTATAAAACCTCTTGGTCATTGATTTGACTTTGATAGGTAATGACAGAAAGCTGTTAACACCGTAAGTCTCAGTTCAACACTTGGTGAATCACTAGCAAAATTAGTGCCTTGCTGACTGGGCATGAAGACTGAAGTCTCCTTTTGCTTCTTTAGGCAGTCTTTCCAGGGCAATGTTGCAAACTTTGGTAAGGCATTATGGGAGGAACTTGTGCTACCATTGCCCAGGCTGCGATTGTGTGGTGGATAAAAGTGGACTTTGATTTCCACAAGTTTTTTTTTTTTAAGAGAGAAATCAATTAAAGAGAATAGGATTTTGTATTCGCTCTGTCCTGTCAAAGTTTTGATTTGAGTTCAGTTCAAGCTTTGTGTGAAATCTGAGGTCAGTTCTTACTGCAGCCATAGTTCCATCTCTGCTGTTGAATGGGTAAAATTTTCAAAAGTGCCTAAGTGACTTAAGCACATAAGTCCCATTACCGAAAACACCTAACTGACCTAGGAGCCTGGTCCCATTGACTTTCA